TATATATATACTAGCAGTAGAGCCCAGCGTTGCTTGGGGATGTAACAGTAAGAGATAGATCAAGTATCGACCATCATAAAGACTGAAAAATAAAATTGACAAAGATTATTGTTTAAGGTTGACGGACACGCATGTCTTAATTAGTTTTTTTTTTATTTTACGAATTGGTCAAACCCAAATTCAAACAAAAACATTGTTTACAATCGTTATGAGTCTATCGATTGATTGAATAGAATTTTATTATAAACAATTGTCTTGTAAATGGAATTTTTAAAGCATTCTGAATGTAAAATAAAAAAAAATGTGCAAGACAATAAGAAACACTACCTGCTAAAAAAAAAAGTGAAGTTTTGTTGAAATCGGTTGAAAAATGTAGATAGCCTTTCTGTAATCTTTTAGTTTTACAATTTATGATTTTTACTTATTGAATACAGTAAAAAAAATTGCATATTTTGCTTGTGGTGATTCATAATTAGAATTTGATTTGAATATATTTTCCACTCGTTGTTTCTAATACAAAAAAATATTAACTTTATTTGGGTTTATTAATTTATTACAAGTACTGTGTTCTTTCCTTAATAATTATCATCTTCGAAATATTGTAGTTTTTTGTCTATCAGATTTCTTACGTCGGCATTTTTAAATTATTTCTTAATACTTTCTTTTAAATATTGAATTCATTTCAAATAGAACCAATGCCTTATTGATCTGCCTTGTAACAAATTGCAAAGGGAATTGTAAAAACGGCCCTGAAGTACGTGGAATTATCTTTCCCTAAAGATAAAGAATTATCCGATTTTTCGATTCGTACAATCAGTAAAGATAGTTAGATTATTGTTTAGGTTGACGGACACGCATGTCTTATTTTTTTTTTTTTTACGAATTGGTCAAACTCAAACAAAAACATTGTTTTCAATATCGTTATGATGAGTCCCCCGATTGAATAGAATTAGAATTTTATTATAAACAATTGTCTTGTAAATGGAATTTTTAAAGCATTCTGAATGTATAAATAAAGAAAAACGTGTGCAAGACAATAAGAAATACTACCTGCCAAAAAAAAAGTGGATGTTTGTTTTATCGGCTGAAGAATGTAAGAAATCCGATCTCATATATAAAGGAACATACTCACACACACACACACACAAACAACCTGGGTTTTTTAACCTAAGTCACTCCACGGAATCGCTAAAACATAGAGCATAGTCTGATGAAAAAGACATAAAGTTTATGAAAAACAAAATTTTATCGTCAAAATGCTTGTTTTTATGAAGAGGATAGACTAAACTTTTTTTAATTATTTTTTAAATTTTTCCATCTTTTAGAATATTCTAAATTTTGATTTAAAAAACCTTGTTTCTCTTTGTCGCAACAAGGGGTAGTAAATAACATAGATAATTTTAGCGCGTTTTTTGGATTTACACACATTAATTTGGAAAATATTGCAAAAATAAAAATAATTGTCAGATGTTAATGAAACTTTCAGAAACTATTCACAGATGATCGAAATTATTATAAATGTTTTTTTTTATTAAAGTCATGGCAGAAATATTTTTTTTTATATTTATTAACACCCCCATAACTAATTTTATGAAAAACTCTAGAAATTCAAGGCCATCGGTTTTAGTGCTTACAATAGTTAAAAGCACAAGGCTTTGAAGAATGCAAATTATGTTTTTTTTTAGTTTTTTTTTTTTGGCCAACGTACCTGAAAATCAGCTGTGAATTGTAACATACAAAACTCAATAAAACAAATATATTATTTAGTTTCAAATGCTTTTATTTGTTTTAATTTGTTTTTATGAATATGGACAATATTTTCTGAAAGCAAAAAATTTTTTCAATGAAAATTGAATTTTTGATACAATTATTTCTTAGCCCTATTCTATCAGTAATGCTTGTTTTCATTCCTGACCACTGACAATCCCTTTCTTCCTCATTTTCAATGCATTCCTATAGTAAAATCATTATCAATGCATTTACATTATACATATAATAGCCCTATTCTATCAGTAATGCTTGCCTTCATTCCTGACCACTGACAATCCCTTTCTTCCTCATTTCATCATTAGAAATAGATTGAAATTATACAATGAAAATTTGTATTCCTAATTTTACTAATGGTGTTTTCGTGAAAACCAGTTGAAAACACTGCGTCGTAATTTTAACTCGTCATGGCATATATATACCTTATTAATATGAACTTTTTTCGTGGGCAGCCGTGTTTGAGTTGAAGACCCTGTTTTTTTTATTTGTCTTAAATCGTAAAATTAATATCAACCGGCCTAGATCGAAAAGTCTGACTAAAGAAAAATATGCTTCTCGTTTATAATAAGAAGAAATAAAGTTGGGATAAAAAAACATGTAGTTAAAAATTCCTGTATACGTAGACATACAACAATGTCACTGCCCGGCTCTACTCCGGGAGGATAATGATATCCCACTTTGCGTCTCCATCCTCCTTCACGTCGCTATGCACCAACAACTGGGAAAGGTACACTGCACGTTCACAAAGTAACGAAGAATAAAACTTACAACAAGACAGGAAATGTACACACTGCACTGTTTCCAGTATTATTAAATATGTGTTTTTATTCCGTTTTTTGCTTGCCCGTTCTCGGCGGGTAGGTAGATGACACCTGTGGCATATCAGTCTAACAATTCAGCTCTCGCCACTCACCATCCATCTACATATCCCGACGTGTGGCAGGCAATACGAACTGGCAGCATCGGAACTGTGCGATGGTTCGTCTGTCTGTCGCTAAGGGCAAGACCAGTGCTGGCTCTTTCGACCACTAACAGGAATGTTAATAAAGACGGAAATGATCAATATCTGCTTTTGTTGTCACTTGCTCCCTAATAGCCCCAATTCACTAGGTCCACGTGGATTCCGCCTAGCAGAATAAACTTAAAAAAAAAAAAGATCCGCTTGTTGCAATACAAAAACAATTGGAGCCAAAATAAATTCGCTATTTCTTCTTTTATGTGTTTATCTCAGCCATAGTGCCAAATATAGTAAAATTCCCAGAACAATTCCGTGGATAAGACAAATTGGTTTAAGATTGACAGTAGGAAAAAATCTTAGTTTTTTTGTCGACGCGTTTCCTCTTCCGATTTCATCTAGGCAAAAATGAAAGCGAAATGTTTTTGTTTTCATAGTTACATTAAATTCAAAATTTAAAAAGAAAGAGACGTTTTTGCGTAAGCCTACTTCTGGCTAATGGTGACTTCTTTTATACTAAAAGATTTTTTTTCCATGTCTAAAATTCCCCGAACAATTCTTTGTATTATTTTTGCGCTCATCCTCACACCCATACATCGCGTATCATTTACAGATATCTATATATAGATTTTTATATACATTAAATTTTTATGTCATGGGGGCAGTGTTTTGTAGGTCCCCTGTGAGTATGCGGTATTATGGTCTATGGAGGACTGAATGATGATGGATGTGTTCTAATAGTGGAAGTGCAATTTGTAACGAGTGAATGGGTCGTGAATCGGATTAGCTAGGTATATGATAGTAAGTGACGACCAGCCTCAACTTTTCCCCCTTCTAGGCCTTGTGCCAAAACTACATTTTATTCACAATAAATCTAGAAAACAAAAACATTTTGCCTTGATAAAGTCGGAAGACTAAACGCGTCGGCAAAAACTGAATGTTTTTCCTATTGTCATTCGTATACCATATACACATATATACAGGGTGTCCATAACATTCGTGTGCACTTTAAAAATTTATAACTTTATTTTTATTTGTGATAGAAATAATCTGTAAAAAATGTTATAAAGTTTAATGTACCTAGTTTTAAGTATAGCTAAAATAACTAATGTGATTTCAGGCATTACTGTAAATCAGTTGGCAAATGTTTTCCGCCAACTGCCAAATCGTATTACCCTTTGTATTGCTAATGATGGAGGACATGTGGAAACTTAAATAAAATTTCAATAAAACCTTTAAAAAGTATATATTTACTTCTTTCTAATCCTTTTTACAAATTATTTCTACCCCAAATACAAATAAAGTTATAATTTTTTAAAATGCACACGAACTTTATGGACACACTGTGTATGTACCACAGTTCAAATGCCATCATTTGAATAGCTCATATATTTTCACATTTATAAATTATGCGTGAATTAATCTGATATTAGAACGCCATTTGTAATCTGCCGAAATTAGTTCAACGAGGTATGTATTAAACTCAAGATTAGAAAATCCATCTTCAGCTTTTAGTGGTGCCAATGTGAAACGTATTTTCTGAGAATGGTGTTTTAGTGAAGAAATTGTAATTTTTCGATTTCTAGACCGAGTTTTATAACTACTGCCTTGTCAAATATAGATGTACTGAGATCTAAATTGACCACAACGCAGAGGCTAACCACACACGCATACGATTAGCTTTTAATATAGAGTTTATTATTACGGTCAGAAGTGGGGAAATTTAATTTCGTTTACAGATAGTTGTTTACGTGAAAGAAACACCAACACAATGGAGTCTGTATTATCTCGCATTTCAGGCCTGGCTAAAATCACCATAATGTCAGCTTTGTCCTCTCCCTCTTCGTCTTTCTGCCAAAAAATACAGTTTTTGTTTGTGTCTAGGTTAGTGGAATAAGATTATTTTCTACTTGTCAAGATCAAGTTCTTTCAATTAAAATTGTAAACCACATATTCAGAAGTTTAAAAAAAAATTGGAGAAACAGACGACATGTCGTAAAAAAGTTTTAAAAATAACAGGAAATTAGAAGGAAATAAAAAACGTAAAAAGATGGCGACCATGAACGAGACAAAAAAATTATATGAAGAGAGGTAAACAAGAAGGGAGAAAGAAAACGAAGGGAAATAAATAGGAAAGGGAAAAGAAAAAAGCCAATGAGGTAAAAAGAAAGAAAGAAAGAAAGAAAGAAAGACAGAAAGAAAGAAAGAAAGAAAGAAGGTAAAATTGAGAAAGAAGAAAGGTAAAATTGAGGTCAAACAAAGAAACAGAGAAAGTATATCAGACAAGAAAGAAAGAAAGAAAAAAGAAAGAAAGAAAGAAAGAAAGAAAGAAGGAAGGAAGGGAAAATTTTTTTAAAATTGGAGAAACAGACGACATGTCGTAAAAAAAAGTTTTAAAAAATAACAGGAAATTAGAAGGAAATAAAGAAACGAAAAAACATGGTGACCAAGAACGAGAGAAAAGAAATTCTATGAAGAGAGGTAAAAAAAAAAGGGAGATAGAAAGAAAAAGGAAATAAATAGGAAAGGGAAAAGGAAAAAGGCTAATGACGGAAGAAGAAAGAAAGAAAGAAAGAAAGAAAGAAAGAAAGAAAGAAAGAAAGAAGGTAAAAGAGACGGAAAGAAAGGTAAAATTGAGGCCAAAGAAAGAAAGAGGGAAAGTATATAAGACAAAAAAGAAAGAAAAAAAGAAAGAAAGAAAGAATATAAAATGGATAAGAAGGAAAGAACGTAAAAGGCAAAAGGAGAGAAAGAAAAGAAAATTGTGGCCAAGAAGGAAAAAGACAATGTTTAACAGACAATAAAAAGAAGAGAAAACTCAAGAAAAAGTCAACATATAGAAGGGAACCTGGGTGAAAAAAAGAAAGAAAGAAAGAAAGAAGGGAAAATAAAAAATACAATTGTTGTTTTGTATCGAGGTTAGTGTAATAAGATATTTTTACTAGTAAAAATCATGTTTGAATTAAAATTGTAAACGACATATTCAGAAGCTTTGGGGAAACAGACGACATGACGAAAAAAAAAAGTAAAAAGAAATAAGCGGAAACGAAGGAAGGAAAGAAACGAAAAATGATGGCGACAAAGGACAAGAAAAACTCTATGAAGAGTGGCAAAAGAAGAAGAGAGAAAGAAATGTGAAATGGAGAAAGGAATAGAGAAGAAAAAAAGAAAGAAAGAAAGATGAAAAGAAGGAAAGAAAGAAGGGAAAATCATAAAAAATACAGTTCTCGTTTGTGTCAAGTTTAGTGGAATAAGATATATTTTACTAGTAAAGATCAAATTGTTTGAATTAGAATTGTAAACCACATATTCAGAAGTTTTAAAAAATGGAGAAACAGAGGAAATGACGAAAAAAAAGTTAAAAAAATAAGAGGAAAAGAGAAGAAAAGAAAGGAACGAAAAAATATGGCGACAAAGAACGAGAAAAAAGACTATGAAGAGTGGTAAAAAAAAATAAGAGAGAAAGAAAGGGAATGAAACAGTCCAGATTGAAATAAGTTCAAGTACTGACAGACACTCCCTCTGTTTAAAGAGGGAGGGCTGTCTGGACGTGACATAAATTGTTTCTAACGCCTTCAAATGTAAAAGTGAACGAGTACGACTCAAGATGGTGAAAGAGCCAGTGCTGAAATTGATGGCACAGATTAGACTTTTTATGAAGTGTTCCGTAATGCCAGAACCATACGTATTGTTGACAATAATATATATATATATATATATATATATATATATATATATATATATATATATCATTAAACATTTGCGTCTAGCATGAAACAGCCTTCAATGTTCACTTTTATATTTATATTTACATACCCTCTATCCCTGATATTGAGCACTTTATCCCATAAATATAGCACACCTTAAAACTATTCATTCTTCATATATATATATATATATATATATATATATATATATATATATATATAAACAACTAACAAGGTACTGCAGTTAATTTCTTTGTTGGCTGCCTGGTCAGTGATCCCTCTTATACACAAGCTTCATAAAAACGACTGAAAAAATACACAATTACATGATACGGCCAAGGAAATTAACCGGGGTACCTTGTCAGTCGTTTTTTAATGAAATATATATATATACACACACACACACACACACACACACACACATATGCCTCATATATATATATATATATATATATATATATATATGTGTGTGTGTGTGTGTGTGTGTGTGTGTAACGAATGCACGGCCGCAATTTCGACAGTTGCAAAATTTACATACACATGCTCCAATTTAGCGGGAAGGACAAGACCGACTTTGCATTTCCCAACTCCCATCGATAGTGGAAATAATCGATTTTTTCATGGTTCTACGGCAGTTTTCATGTAGTTTGTGGCCATTTTCTACTGACCAGAGTGAGAGTCAATAGCTGGCTACCACGAATAGGCAGGAAGATTCTATTGGTCAGCGTGTGAGCCAACAGCTGACTGACACGAATGTTAACTAGCAAGCTAGCATGCAAAAAAAATCGATAGCTGCATTCGTCACAAGTGGGAAAAATTTAAATCTGCATGGCACTTTACTCCAATTGGCTCATTCCCTTCCTTAAACTCAACGTTGATTCTGATTCCGCAGAACTGTGTTGGGTGTGAAAAAGTATTTGTTGTTAACATTCTTTTTTCATTCGTTTTTTCCGGTTACGAGTCCTTTTTTAAAGCTGATCGTTTTGTATTCATTTTGTTTAGTTCTTTTTTCGTAACAGATTTAATGTTTAGTATAGAGCTTAGGAAAAAATCGCAATGTGAGATAGGCAAGAAGTAAGGCATGTAGAAATATCAGCACGGCAAAGGGCACTCGTTTAAAGGCAAGGAAGGGCAAAAATATTTTAAGTCAAGTGATAGCGATTGCTGTATGGGTCGTACGATTTTTGAATCAAGAACAGGCAACGCCGGGTCATGCTGCTAGTCAATAATGTTTTGTGACAATTTTTAACACCAACTAGAGATTTTTCTTGTCTAAAATCTGAATGATTTTAATACATTCAACATGATGGATAAAAAATAGTGAAATTTTATATCGTGTTTTTGTTTTTCGAGCAAAACAAATTCACAGACCTGGACGAAAAAGAAAAGACCCCAGAATCCACGTGCAAATTTCATCCTTTAATAGTTAGTTTAGTTTTCAACGTATAAAAGCAAATGTTGAGAAATTAGCAAAGGCCAGAAATCACTTGTCGGGACACCCAGCCAGACTTACGCCCCCGTGCCCAGTCGGGTGGGTTCTGGGGTAGTTCGTACTGGCCCTGTCTGGCAACCACTCTAAGAGACGAAGAATACTGAGTTCAAAACTTGTTAAGAACGGGCTTGCAACTCCATCCCGTAAAAACGTACATACTAGGGGAACAGCAGCAGCCACGCCCTGTATGATGAGGGTGTGTCCACATGCTCTGCAGTGAAGTCGACAATGGCTTATCTGTAATCTGGTAGAAGTTCAAAAAATTAGTGGAATTGAGTGAGTAACTTTAGAGATATTTTTAACGCTTAAATTAAGACGTTTTTGTTTAATCGGAAGAAAAAAATAACTCGTATGTACCAACGGAATTATTAAAAATCAAAAACAAACAAAAATCCTGTCTTTACTTTAGGTATATCACATACCAAAATAATTTCGAAGTTAATCCACTCGATAAGAAAAGGATTAATAGTATAGCTGGGGCGATAATCCCAAATCCGAATTTAATAAGGATTAAGTGCGTTTTGGGGTTCACAAAAGGATTGAAAGTGTAAATAAATAATTGGAAAGGGATCAGTGATAAAGAAAGGGGTCATAATATGGATTAAATATCACGGCACACTGGCAGAGTAGAATTACTCTGAATTTAGAAACGTGAAGGGTAGTGAGTGGTCATTTCGCTTTATTTCCCAATAACAGGTCAGAAAATGGGAGCAACGACGAAATTTTAGAGAAAATGGGAAAAAAAAGGGCCCATGTACTTAAAATCAGAAAATGACAATTGTAATTTCTAGGGTACATAATGAGGAAAGAGGGCTTGGAAAAATTGACACTCACATTTTGAAGGCAAGAAGAACCGAGGAAAAAACTCATAACATACCTAAAGAGTTTTTGTAAATGGTTGATAGAAAAGGGATTGGGGGAGATAGAAAAAAGAAGAAAAGAAAAAGAAGAAAAAAAACCTGGAAAATAAGAAGAAGAAGAAGAAGAAGAAGAAGAAGAAGGTAGTGAAGAAGAAGAAAGTGGGGAAGAAGGTGGTGAAGAAGAAGAAGAAGGTGGTGTTCCTTATTTATGAGGTAATGGCATGAAAGGTTATATGCTTCCATCTTCCCATCTTTCTTTCTTTCAATATAAATAGCGTACAGAATACCTCATCTCAGAAATATAGACAGAAATGTATTTACATCTGTAGTGAGAAAAATAAAAATATATTTAATTTTTGATAATTGAGCACTATTTTGTAAAAAAAAAAAAAAAAAATAAAAATATCTATAAGAACACCGGATTATATATCTTGCATTTCTTTCTTTCTTTTATATATATATATATATATATATATATATATATATATATATATATATATATATATATATATATATATATATATATATATATAATAGTGAATATTGAAGTCAACACTCAGAGGCAACGGGCAGTTTCATATTAGACGCGATTGTCAGGCCGCGAATGTTGGATTTTTCCGCGACTATTCATATATATGGGGCAGTTGTGCCTTGTGGGTAGTCTATTTTGGCGGTTATTTTTGTGGGAGTGACTTGTTTGTTTATTTATTTATTTACTTGGTTGGTTTAATTTATTTTACTTGTTTTTCATTTACATTTTGTATTATTTGTTCTTTTCGGGTTTTTGACGTTTTATTAAGTAAAAAAATCGGGGGATTTGCTTTGGTTGCTTATTTCATAGTTTGTTTTGCTCTGGAATTGAGCACTTTAGCCCGTAAATATAGCTCACCTTAAAACTATATTTCTTTTTCTCTCTCTCTCTCTTATATATATATATATATATATATATATATATATATATATATATATAACTAGGTCTGCGTTTCCGTCTTTTCGCAAGGATGTATTGCCCTACATCAAATTGAGTAATTTAGTATATGAGTTTAATTGCCAGTGTGCTGCTGGTTATGTGGGGCGTACAACCTTGCATTTGGAAACTAGAATCAATCAGCACGTACCTTCTAAATACGACTTGGTAAGATAGATAGAATATGCTATCTTCCCCCATGAATATGGAATCGGCTATTGCTCAACATTTAGTTGAAAATATAGCCTGCCAAGTTATTTAAAAAAAGAGTGGTTTAAAATTATTCATACAGCCGATTCAACAATCATTTGAAGATTTTGGAATCGGTCTGCATATAGATTAAGGAAACCTTCTCTCTGCCGGCAGAAAAAGAATTCGTAAAGTCTCTTAATCTGTTGGGGATATTTTATTTTAACTGTCCCTCGCCAATTTATTTTACGATTATTTCCCTCCCTCGTTACAAGTATATACACTTTGTTATTTTAGTGTGTTTCCCCCCTCTTTTTGCTCTTTATTGTCGTTAATATTCTTTTCGCTGATCCAACGATTGTCTCCTGATGGGATGTTGGCTGAAAGGGCCCTAGAGACTTTTAAAATTAAAATCAATACATTCCTTGTTTTTAAAACTATATATAAATTTTATACCTCCAAACATTTGTATATATATATATATATATATATATATATATATATATATATATAATTATTTATTTTAAAATATGATACCATCGCTACATAAAGTTCTCATGTTTCAAAACAAGAGACGAAAACTTCAATATAATTATTAGAACTAAATTGAATTAAATTTCCAAAAATTTCGCTTGAGCTTGGTACTTTAATTCAATTTAATTCTAATAATTATAATGAAATTTTTGGCTCTTGTTTTAAAAAACATGAGAAGTCTTATGTAACAAAGGAATCATATTTTAAATAAATAATTATATTTATCTCTACTTTTTTTCTCTTTACTTTTCCTCTTTTTTGTATCAAGCACTGTTTTTTTAAAAATAAAAACAAAGATACTTTGGGTTATTTACCTAACGAGTTATTTCCTATTTTCTATATATTTTCACACACATAAACACCCCCAACACACAAACACAGAAAAATATATATATATATATATATATATATATATATATATATATATATATATATATATATTGTTTTATTATATTAAAACCTCTTAAAATTCGCAACATAATGGTAATTATGTCTCAATACTATAAATGTGACTCCTCGGTTGATGTTAAACTACTGGACGCGACAGTAGTTTAACATCGCCCTCGGAGAGACATGTGTAGTGTTGAGACTTGTCAATTTTATTTTCCGACAGAAATTTAGAAATTGTTACAAATAGTTTTTCTTACTCTGCTGATCATTTAAGGAGTATACTGTATTGTCTATACCTTGTACATCTGTTTCGCAGCGCTAATTTTAGCGTCCTATCTTGTTCTCTACACGGTTTGATAGAGAGCTAAACATATGGTATTCGTATCATGTATAATCCCAGTCTTATTTATTTACGTATAATTAAACGCTAGAAAAGTGGTTGCTGTTGTCTACAGAGTATTCAACGCATACGCGTCTGGCGAAAACGTGTAATGTCTGCTAAGTGAATATTCGTAATATGGTAATGTACTCAAAGAAATGACATATCTGCTTATGAAATGTTCCACCATTAATTTAAGAATAGAAAGCTAATTACATATAAGTATAGATTTTTTTTTCCAGATTTTTTTTATGCCTCTATCGCGTTAATTACAAAGTCGTCCTCAAAAAGTCATCAAAGTCTGTCTGACGATTCATTTAGGTTAAATATATTTATACTTTTTATCAATCGTTCATTAGATATCGTTTGAAATATTTCATGACAATTATTTTATTTTCAGTCTTCGCTTACACACATTGATGTTTACAATATATAAGCATCTTTTACCTAACTATCCATCAAAATCTATGGCGTCTAGACTTTTTCAGTTTAAGTGCAGTACTAAACTGGTGTCATGTTATCGGTCCTGAACTGGCATCTTGGCTTCATTCCTTTACCCACCGGCGTAACGTGGCTTCCGTAAGCCTTTTGCATAAATAATTTCCTGGTAGTTGTTTTAATAAGTTTTCTTCTTATATGCCCTACTTTAAAAATTTAAGCGCAGTACTAGATTGGAAGATAGGTCTCATCATTTTATAGTTGGAATGGCTAGATGCAACTGTAAGTTCTATGGTAAGAGTTTTTTCTCTAGCACTTTTCGCTTGTGGAACGCTCTTCCGGTTTCTTGCTTTCCGGTCAGCTTTGATCTTCAAATAACACAATGCTAATTGTTATCTACAGTGTTCTTACTTCTTATTCTTTTTATATTCTCTCCCCTTAATAGTGTTTCTCTCTTTTTTCTTATTCTTTCACTCAGTATCCCCTTGTGTCTTAGTGGCTTTACTGCCTTGCATGGTGCGAAATGACTGGAAACCAAATTTAAATGCAATGTCCATTGTTGATTGTTCTCGCTCCTTAATATTGTTTCTCTTTTTTTTCTTATTCTTTCACACTCAGTAACCCCCCTTGAGTCATAGTGGCTTTACTGCCTTGAATGGGGGGAAATGATAAGAAAACAAATTTAAATGCAATGTCAATTGTTATCTGCTGTCTTCTTGATTACTCTTCTATTGTTCTCGCTCCTTAATATTGTTTCTCTTATTTTCGTATTCCTTCACGCTCAGTAATACCTTGTGTCTTAGTGACTTTACTGCCTTGCATGGGGTGAAATTATTAGAAACCAAATTCAAGTGCAATGTCAATCGTTATCTACTGTCTTACTGATTACTCTTCTATTGTTCTTGCTTTTTATTATTGTTTCTCTTTTTTCTTATTCCTTCACACTCAGTAATACCTTGTCTTAGTGGCTTTACTGCCTTGCATGGGGTGAAATGGTTAGTAAACAAATTTAAATGCAATGTCAAGCATTATCTACTGTCTTATTGATTACTCTTCTATTGTTCTCGCTCCTTAATATTGTTTCTCTTTTTTTCTTATTCTTTCACATTCAATAACCTCTTGCTTCTTAGTGGCTTTATTGCCTTGTTTGGGATGAAAAGATTAAAACCAAACCATCTCATATTATCTGGGGTAACGAATGGTTTGTCAATTTTAACGCCTCCATAAAAAACTGCTTCTTTTAATTGTCTAAGAGAACTCTTTTCACTTGTCATGAGTATGGCTGATGCTAACCTCCAGGAGAGTGACTCATTGTGTTTTTTCGGACTAATGTTTTCCGCTAACCTGAAGTGAAAAGATTATATTAAATCAATTCCTTGATATGCTGCTAGGAAAGTTTGTTCACTGTGGCGTGCTAGACAATTATTATCTCCTGAATCTTATTTTATTTTTTTATAAGCCTGCCATTAGCCCTGGCTTTAAATACAATGTCAATCGTTATCTTGTCTTGTTAATTCCCGTTCTTTTAGAGTTCCCTCATGTTAATAATTTTTTTCTCATACTGCCCACACTCTGTACCCCTCTTGCTTTGTTGCCTTGCTTGGGGGAAAATGTTTTAAAATAATGCTTTTCGCTGTATTAGAATCGGATCTAATATGAATATCAACACTGGGGTCTGGAATAGGTTTCAATGGTGTAAGTTGTCGATTCAACATTTTACTTTTTATTGATATCAATTTTTCGGTCACGTTGTCGTCACGTGGGCGACGCTGTGGAAACGTATTCCTAAAATTTGAGTATTTTGAATGAAAAATGAAAAGAATTCTATTTTGATCT